ACCATTTCGAGCCCTGGCTGCTTCCAGGCTGGCCCTGGTGAGTATATAGAGCCAGAGCTGGCAAAAGTCACAGCTGTGCCATTCAGATGAAGTTGCTTGGAGTCTGCAGGGGAGATGAGGGCCTTGGTGGCCCCCAGGCCAGAAAGACTATTAATAGGGTTCCCAGGGACCCACAAAGGAGCAAGGAGCCACAACAACTGAAAAATAGAACCACTCAGAGGCCAGTGAGTCATTGCAACAGACCAGTGCATGGCCTGTCCCATGGGAAGTATTTGGAGCACAGGCAGTGGGGGAGACAGGCCCACCAGGAGAATACTGGGGCACAGCATGGACAGCTGATCTGCCCCCCAATCAGCCCAGGACCACTCAGTGGAGACTGGTCAGGAATACAGAACTGCAGGAGGTGCAATTTGCTGAAAAGACTCAGGTCCAGACCAGAGTTTCTTCACAACTCATGTGTACCAGATCTCATGAGAACCAGAAGTATTTACAGAGTCAACCATCAAATCCTGAGCTGCACAAAAAGCCTTCACCAGGGAATCAGCAGCAAAGCAACAATTTAGCTCAACCACAGAGTTCAAGTACTGGTCCTCACAGGAAGTTCCCCCATTTTAAATGTAAGAAAAGGACAAAAAATTAGGTCCAGTGAAGAGTTTAAGTGGTGGGAAGTGCAAATAGTCCAACACAGAGCTGAAAGAAAAACAAAATACCCACAGACCAGAGACAAAATTCTCATAACACCAAAAATCTCATAACACCAAAGAAAACCTTTAAAACCTAGAAGAACTGGAAGTCCCCTGGGCTACCAAGCCAGGGAGTGGGGAGGTCTGGGGGTCTCAGCCTGACCCCTGACACCTTAATCAGTCCTGAGGGTGGGAGCCTGAGGGCTTCACCCCCACCCTGACACCTGCAACCAGCCCAGCAATGACCACCAGTCATTGCAGGAGCTCCCTGGGCTCTTCCAAGCCAGAGTCATGGGGGTCAAGGGCTTCAGCCACACCCCCATGACATCTATACCCAGCCCAGCAATAATCAAGCCACTGCTGAAAGTCCCCCGATCTTCCCCACAGGAATGGGGGGGGTGCCACAGCCTTCAACCTTGTCCCTCCTCCGTCTTCCTTCTCCTACCCTATTTCTTTCCACTTTTTCCTCTCCCCTTCACCCCCAACTGCTCTGCAACAACATCATAGAATGTAAAAAATAATAATAATATGAATAAATAAATAATATTCCTTAAGCAAAAAAAAAAAAAAAAAAAAAAAAAA